TTATCGCATGTTGGTATGTTATAGTAATCTTTTAGATCGGTATCCTGGTATATAGGATGATGTTATGTTTAGTGATATGTTATATCTACCTGTTATCTTTTCTAGATCTATGTTTACCGGTTTCATATGTTGATGTACTGTGGTTGGGTTGAGATTGTACTACTTGGTGCTGCCAGTCAATAAACCCAAAATTCTTTATATCGATATGTTGTTACTGGTTATTTGTATGCTTTTCTGTCTTATATATATATATATATATATATATATATATATATATATATATATGTGTGTGTGTGTGTGTGTGTGTCTGTTTCGACACGGTTGGTGTGTTTTTGGGTTGAGGCGGTCCTGCTTTGTGCTGAAGGCTAACAAACCTAAAGCATCCCGGATAGACTGAAGGCCAGTGGGGCGTACCAGTCAGGCCGAAGGCCCGCAGAACTTTCCAGATAGGTTGGAGTCCCGGTGAGGCTTACCAGTCATGCTGAAGGTTCTGTGAGTGTACCAGATAGACTGTAGGCTGGTGGGGCATCGTATTCAGATTGAAGGCTTTGTGGGTGTACCAGATAGATAGAAGGCCGGTGGGGCATTCCAGTCATGTTGAAGGCCCTGCATTCATGTTGTTTGTTGGTATATGTTATCTATTTGTGTGGTGGTACTTTTAGGGGAAACTCACTAAGATTTGTGCTTACAGTTTTGTTTACGGTTTCAAGTACTTTAGTGGACCATGGTAAGGCGAAGGCGTGACCGTACACATCCTTGGTTTTACGACTAACTGGATCTTTGGAGACTCTGATTTTAATTAATGTTTTGGAACAATGTTTTTGTAACACTTTTATTAGAAAAAGGGTTGTTTTGAAAAGTTTTAAATTTGTTGAATTTTTGGGATGTTACAACCCAAAACTAGCTAGATCTAACAAATGCATCATCAAGGTTCAAGCTTTATACCTCTAGAAGAAAGATCGATGTGAACGAGGCCTGGATCTACAAGTTCTAATTCAACCAACATTTCTCCAATGAGCTCCTTCTTCTCTAAGTTGCACCAAGAACACTCCAAAGCACTCAAAAACACCTTCTTTAGCTCACAAGGCTCAAACTAGGGTTAGGGTTTCAAGGGAGGATGTTGGAGAGGCGGAGGCTGAGAAAGGTAAGGGTTTTGGGGAGTTAAGGAGCTTAAATAAGGTTCAATACCCTAGAATTAGGGTTTCAGTTATGATCACATATGCCCAATATACTCCTGGTACGCCCTACATACTAGGTTGATCCTCCATGATTAGTCTTGCCTAGTACGCCCAACGTACACCCTGTACGCCTAACGTACTCAGCTTAACCCAAAACCTCCCTAACTTCTAACGGTCATAAGTTCTTCAGTCCAAATTTATTTTTGACTATCTTTATATCCATGGAAAGGTATTAAAGATCCACACAATATTATCTAGATTTCTTGGACTAAAAAAATTCTCAAACAAAAATCCATATTTCATGTAAGACCTCGGCCTATGAGTTTCCATTTCCTACCCTTTGACCCAAAACACAATTCAAAGGTTAAGATATCGCATACATAATTTCCTTCATCTAAAGGTCTAAACAGTATCTCCTTAAGGTGCAGAACCTTTACACAATCGACTTCCAGTCCACGACCCTGAAATAAGAAATGATAGGAAACACAATGTTACACTTGCAAGGTCGAACAACAAATAAGATTGGAAACAGAGAGTGACATGATAAGTCGCTATCCACATCTGTTTGCTGATGTATAATTCTGGGATGGAATCATCCTAAGGAGGAAAGAATTGTAATGCTCGTGTTTCTAGGCTAAGCATTAGTATGATGATGTAATAGTTAGGGTCAACAATTATAATCTATTTTGAAGTAATAAAGAGAAATTAGTTGCATATTATGTGATTTTATGTGTATTATACTTATTTATAAGATATAATAAATTAAGAATTAAAATACACATCAAAAATAAAATAATAGATAAACCCAATATCTATGAAGAAAGTTGTAGTGGTTGTGACAAGGATTCCGTAGATATAAAGAACACCGAAATCCGAGTTATAACGAAGAAGTTATGACATGATGAAGTTTCATGACAAAACCGGCACAACACAGTGTGACGTAAAAAGTGAGTTTACGATAAAATAATTTCTAGCTTTAGCGATCTAAAGGAAAGTCGTAGTATACGTTAAATCGAGAGTGTGCATAAAAAGAACACCTAAATGTGACTTTGTATGAGGAAGTTATGCTTTTTCTAAGATTTGACATAACAGTCTGCAACCCAAAATTTGAATTTTAGATCGACTGATTTTTAGCTGACACAACCTAAATGAGAATCAAATATCTCATTAATAGGAGCTCAACAATAAAAAGATAGATGAAAATGGACGTCGGATGACAAAGTTATGAATTTTTGACAGACTTTACCTGTCCAAACCTGTTAAAATATAACTTTATAAATAAATTTGAAATTAGCCTACGTATTCTAAACGAAAGTTGTAGATTACATTGCCTCCTACGCGTGGATATAAAGAACGTCAAAAATGGAGTTCATATACGAAAGTTGGGGATTTTAGAAGATAATTAGTTTTTGGAGTGATGTACGAGTGACACATGGCGCGATCTGAGCTACTTCTTCCTCCACATGCCTTGCCACCAAATGGTGACACATGGCTTGAGTACGCCCAGCGTACGCAGGAGCTGGAAGCCTATAAATAAAGCTCGTTTTTCTTCATTTCTCCAAACCAATTCACTCTAACTCTCTCCCAAAAACCTCCAAAACCTTAAGGCTTTTCTATAGGCCTTCTTAGGAGTTAGTAGCGAGTCCCAGAGCACCAGAAGGCCCCTTAAAGAAGAGCTTTTGGCTCGAAATTTCTGCCCCCGTAGAGCCCAGTTCCTAGCCAAACCTTCCAACAAGTGAGTTATGCTTACCCTACTTTAAGTATAGCTTAGGTTTAAGTTTATTATCATTATTATGAACTTATAGACAATAAACCTATTATAAAATACAATATACAAAGTGTTATTATAATATCTTTTAACTATTCATGGTACGGGGAATCTGGTTTGAAGGGCCGCATAGGGTTGTTGGATTTCAGTAGTTCTATAATGCCAAAATGGTCCTACCCTCCGGTGTTTCATGTCTGGCCCCTGTCTGTACATAGAGGTTGAAAAGTATAGTTTAACACTTATAAAACAATATCGCTCATACATTGTCGTGATAAATATTATACTAAAATCTAGCGGTAATTATACTAGGTTTCATCAAAGGAAAATAGAATTGTTAGAAGCGAAGCGTTGTCCAAGTTTGGAATCATCACTTTAACAAGTGATGGCGTAGTTACTTTCATCTTACACAAATATATGAAGTATTTAGTATAAATTACATGCTATGTGTGCATATTATCTATTTTCTTGGTATCTATGTTGGATGAACAATTTATACATGTTTTAAATGATTTAAAATGTATATGTATTTTATATCTACGAATATGTTGGGTAAAACATGGGTAGATGAAATAGTCGAGGTGTGATGAAATAAAACAATGAAGCACCTCGATATTTACGATGATCTAGTCATCTAGCGGAGTATAGATGACGACAACGTACTATTCTAGACAGTCCAGTGGAACGCTAGCAGGCTCGCAACCTATATGTGTTTATTTGAACTAATTGTTCACTAGGTGTACTCCAACCCCCTCATGGTTTCCTTATTTGACATGTACTACTGAGGAATCCCCTAAGTAGTATAGTCACCCCGATGAAAATCCTTAGGCTAGGTCCCTTATAATAGATGTTTTAGGGACGTAAGGTGAGGATATCAGGAATCAGAAATCGAGTTGAATGATTTGATGAAACTAATAAACTTAGTTACTGTGGGTTGAAAATCCTATGAGCTCACCAGACTCCCAAGCCTGACCCACTCAATTTCTTGTATACAGGTAGTGGCAAAAGAGCACATGAGTGATGGTCTGATGAGAGATCAATGGATTATAGGCCTCTAAAATAAATAGATGTTGTAAGGCCTATGTTGTTTCTGTTTATGCTTTTGATCTGTATTGAAAATGACATCCCGAGGCTTTTAATATAATGAAAATACATTTCTTCAGAAATGCTTTGATAAATTCTTTATCATATTTTTGGGAACAAATTCTGCAACATATTTCTTTAAAAATATACTCCAGTTTTCAAATAAAGCATAAACAAATCGTTTTTTACTGGCCTTGAAAATGGGGATATCACATAATGGTAAAGATAATGGATTCCTCTTTGGTTAAAGAATTGACGAGTAAAGGAAGGTTATAATCATCAAATGGATACTCTTAGAAGGAGTTGAATTCAAAAGATAAGGTGTATCTTGATTTCTTATATTGATAGATGAGGTTATTGGCCTTAAGGGAAATTTAGGACTATGGTATGGAATCGATGATTCCAAGGTTAGATTAGGTATTTCACATTGAGTTTTGTTATTCTTTCAAATAATTAACAACATTCAATTAAGTTTACAATAATTTGGATTCAAGCTTTGTGAACTTGGGAATGTCCAATTCCATTATAGTCTAGCTAACCCCTCTTTTAGAAAATATGAGAATCACTATATTCTTAAGAAGTTCAGAAAGAACTTAATGGATTAAGTGGAGTGCTTTTAGGATGATAAAACACTTCCTAATCATGTGTGAGAACTCAAACAAGTGGTTTAAAATGATATTGGATGAGAACATTATCCATTAAGAGCATAATTGCTCGCTAGGATCCTTAGATATCATTTTATGCTTTTATATAGCTTTGGTGACATTTAAAATTTTCATGATTAAGTCATCATGAGGATAGGGTCTAATTGAGTATCTGATAATGGAGGTCTATGTTATGGTTGCAGGAATTTACTATGACCTTGCTATGGATTATTCAGGTCAAATTGGAAAGAATTTTTGAAAAGTGTTGAGAATACAAATGTTGTTCAAGGAATATATTGTGCTAGGTATTGGAGTTTAATTCTTCAGTATATGTATGAAAAAGAAGGAATCGAGGTGCCTGCTGATGAACAATCAATTGAGTTCTTGAAGTACAATTTTCCAAAGAAGATTGAGGATGATGCCGAAGTGTTTCCCAGCATTACAAGAATTCCAGATGCTATGATCAAGTGTGTTAATCCAACAAGTTCTATTTTGATGACGTATTTGGCTTCGATCAATCCAGATGAAGACACTGGTATACTGTTTGCTAAGCCAGATGCAGGTTCTTCCAAGAAATCTCGCAAATCCAAGAAGACTGAGAAATCGACTATCGTAGCTACTGAGCGTGTTGAGGTTGTAGTTGTCAAAACTCATGCATGAAATATTCCTTCTAAGTCTTGTTTTCTTAAAAGAATCAATTAGAAAGCTCATCATTCTTGAAAGTCACCAGAAAGGTCTTCTAGTTTTTCTCCTTCATTTACTCGCAAACCTCATGTTACTCGCAAATGAGTTATTAGTCTGGAAGTTCAAGATCCCGTGTCCCCATTATCAAAGAAGAGAATAGCTATTGATAGGGCAAAGCATATTTCAAAGAAGATTAAAAAGCAAAAACTGGTTCTTCAAAAAGTATCTTCCGAAGAAGAAGAAGTTCCAAAAACTCCTCAGGCTATTCTTTCGAAAAGTCTTTCGACTCCTAAGCAAAATCCAATCATTCCACTTGAGGTTTCGTTAACCAAGTCATCTAATTAGGAGGTTCAAACTTTTGACATTATTACACACATATCTGATACGGTTGTAAATGTCACTATGGGTGAAGAAGAGTCGAATAAATAATCCCCAATGCTCACTCAAGGTATTCTTGAAACTTCTATAGTCAGTACCCTTGTTTCTTTACCAACATTTATTATTCCTACACACCCAATCTCATCTTCGCCAACATTTACTCCAATTCTCAATCAACCGTTCACTTCTCTATTTTCTTCCCAATCTACTGATCCACCAAAATCTGTTGATGATACTGACAATGATGATGGAGGATTTAGAGGAACTTTTGATGAACTTCAGTTTGATCCAGAAGAAGAAGATATTCTTGATCACATGTTTATGTCAGGAAAACAATTTAAAATTCTGAACAAAAATCTTAACTCGATCATTCAATCCCAAGCAGAAGTAGGGAGAAACAATTCTTTGTCCAGTATTGAAGTGGATGTCATGCTAAAAGCACAAGAAGCTTGATTGTTCAATAAATTTTCTAATTTTCTTAGTGCTTATGAATCTCGAATTCTTGAGAAGGTGGATGCCAATGACAAGAATAATGAGCTTAGGATCAAACCTCAGTCCTCAAATTTTAATGAAAAAGTCAGAGATTTCAAAATAGTTGCTAAGGAACATCATGTATTGTTTATTCAGGATGTGAAAAAGGTGAGGGAAGATGTTAATTTGAAATTTCAAGAATTGCGTGAAGACATGAACAAAGAGATTGCTACTACACAAAAAGACTATGCGTCTCTAAATCAGAAGATGGATATTATTGCAGACGTAGTGACGAAATTTGTCAAGTTGTATGAAGATTTGAGTCCTCAAATTACTCAACTATCTACCGATGATAGTAAAAGCTTCATGGAGATCACAACTTTGTTAAACGAGTTGAAAGCATTAATATTAAATCCTGGCTCATCTCCTCTGATCGCACTAGAATTTCTATCTCAGAAATTTATGTTGTTTGAATCAGTTCTTCACAAACAGTTGGCACCATTATCCTGAATTCTCAATCTTTTACCAACAAATGCCCCTCCTGATGTCATAAGGGTGCAAGGGGGAGAAAAGAAAATTCAAGGGGTTGAAAAGACAAAAGAAATATTAAGAAGGTTTTAACCGCTGCTAAAGTAGCGAAAGTTGTATCCACTCAAGTCCCAACACCTATAGTTTCAAAGGTAAATACAATAGAATCCATCAAGACAATAACAAGACCTATTCTGAAAGGAATTGTTATTAGTTCTTCTACTGAAGGAGGAAGTTCAAGTTCTTCTAAACCAAAAACTTCTGAAGATGATGGAAAGGGGAAGGGAATTTTGATTGAAAATTTGAAAGAAGATAAGAAGGCTGAAATTGAAGCTGAAATGGAGAAAAAAGGAAGATACAGAGCATATTGAGACTTTGTGAAAATGATCCACCTGGCATGGATAAGGGAGATCCAAAGAAGTTGTACAGTTATGAGAATATTGAAGCAAGAGTTGCATTTAATCACATGTATGCTTTTGAGAAGAAGCCAAAGAAAAGCAATTCTATCACTAACATTGATATGAGTCAACTTGATTTTCCAGTGAACAAAATGATGTTTATCATGGCTCGATACAAAATAATTGAGAAGTTCGACAACGAAGATGATTATATTCATATGAAACTTAGGTTTCATGCAGTTGTTGGAAAAGAACCAGAAGAAATATGGTCATTAGTGAAGATCAAGAAGATCGTCACTATAACAAAAGATGTCTTGTTCGAGAAAATGATACATAATTTTCTCTATCATGATGTGAGAGCGAACAATCAGGTTTGTGATTTTTTGGTTGCTGATTTTCCTTTAATGAACTTGAATGACCTGATTCAAGTTGCATTAATCTTAAAAGTCGTGGAGGCTTCGCAACTTCAAGGGACTGATAAAAATGTTTTGAAGCTTAGTCTTGGTCATATCAAAATCTTCATAGACAATTAATATGATTTTCTAGCATTAAATGATGTGGAGTTAGCATCAAAAATGGGAAAGGAAGTGAAAGTTTCAATGGAAGCAACGAAGACTCAAGCTGAACTGAAGAAATATGATGATGGGGAGATATTCTTGGATCCATTTGGATTGGTCTTTGCTGGAAAAGATAAGAATGGAAAATCTAAGAGGTTTTTCTTCCACGCATGTGAAGTGGAAAGATATATTACATCCCAATATACGAACTTCATTGTTCGTTTGAATAATTGCTTGAAGAATAATCAGGGGGATAAAAAGGAGTTAAGAAATTTTTTGACATGGTACTCAGAGATATGAAGGATGATGCATTTTTCTGTACAGATTCTCACAAATTGAGAAGTTCGACATGATTACAAAGGGGGATATTATAGAGTCAAAATATCTTGTAATATGTCGAAGTCTATGTATTTGTTAATTTCGTATGTTTTCTATGTATTTGCTAAGGTTTTCTTTTTAACGGAGCGTAATGTCTATCCTTAGTATTTTTTGTACTTTTAGCCTCCTATAAATAGGAGATGAACATAAAGTTGATAGTAGAGTTTTTTCCCACGTTTACTATTAGTTTTGTACTCTTGGTCATTGAAAGTAATAGGAGCTGAACCAGATTTTATTTACTTCCTGTGTTCATATTTTACTCTGATTTGATTCTTATACTCGATTAAAAACATCTACAAAAATATCAAATAAAAACTATTATTTTAGTTTATACCAATTATCCTCTTCCCCCTTCTAATGTCGATTCAACCCTAATCTTACTGCTTCTTTCAATCAGTCATTTTCCTGGGAAACAAACATGTTAGCTTCGTCTTCTACCTCTTCTTCTCATGATAATCTTCTTCCTATGAACATTATTCTTTATATGATCATAATTAAATTATCCTCCATCAAACACCTCCTCTGGAAAAATCAAATGTTTCCTCTCTTCACCTATCAAAAGCTTTTAGGCCATCTCGATGTCACTTCTTCTCCTCCTAAAGATACTATTATGGTTGCCAACCAGACGAGCCCTAATCTAGCTCTTGCCTCTTAGATCGATAACAATCATCGATCAATCATTCTTTTATAACTCACTGGTGCCCATCAAATCTAGAAAGTGCTTGAAACAACCTACATAAACTCCCCAGTGGAACGTATTCACTTTCTTCATGTTACCCTTCATTAAATCAAGAAAGGGACAACCTCTTTTTCGGATTATGGTCATTGATTCAAAGGCGTTTGTGATTAAGTAGGTGTAATCGGGTATCTAGTAGCCGAAATTGACAAGCTTCATTGGTTTCTCTATGGTCTCGGGCCTTCGTACGAGACATTTTCTGCTACTATTCGAGTTGTGAAACTGGCACCTATCTTTCATCATTTACTATCTCAAGTAGAGAGTCATGAATCGTTTCTAAAATCTATACATGGTACCTCTAATCCTGTTGTTTCTTTTTATGCCCAATCAAAGAGGTCATCTTCTGCCAAACGTGATTAACCTGGTGGATTTTCTTGTGGACAAAACTTCCAAGCTACTAACAATGGTGGTCGAGGCTGTGGACAAATTCACAATCCTCCTCATTGCCGACTTTGTAGAACCAATGGGCACTATGCCTCTTCTTGCCCAAAGCTTCATACTTATGCTCGACAAGAAACTTCCTTTAATGAGAATCTAGCAAAACTGATTCATGCCCAATATCATGTTACAAAAGAAAATCCTGACAGGCATGCTGATTCGGGAGCAACATCACATATGAATGTCGAAAAAGAAACACTTCACAAGTCGGTTCTATATCAAGCTAACATGCAAGTTATTTTTGGGGATGGTAAAGCACTTCCTATTACACACACAGGTACATCTAAGATCTCAAATAATCTTTTATTATGTGATGTGTTGATGATTCTTAATCTTAACAATAAGTTATCGTCTGTTAGCAAATTGACTACGGGTGCCATACCCTTGGCCAACGGCGAAAGTGCCAGGTTGTGCGATGCTAGGATGTTGGGATTTCAAGCCAAGATATGTTATCAATAATACACATGATGTACTAAACAATATAGCTATTTATTCATTAAATAAAAGATATTACATAATAGTTCGAGGTGTAAGTAGGTTATGAAAGCAAAGTACAAAAGCAAAACACATAAGTTCCTGGCTGCATCACCAGTGTTATCTCCTCCTCCAGACAGGTTTATTCTCCTGAGAATATATATGGTTTGAGAGGTCAACATAATGTTGGTATGTCCAGAAGTTTTATTTTTATAAAATGTGTATGGGTATTTTAGTCGTTCTGTTTATCCTAAACTCACTTCCTTGTGTTTGTAAGTACTATCACTACTTCCATAGGTTGGTTCCTAGTGATAGTTTAAGATAGTTTGTGACAACCCCAAATCCATTCCCGTTACAAACCCTATTTTCACTAACGGAATGCGTCATTATATGTTATATCTCGGTATTGTTCGGGTCGTCAATAAATAAATATTTTTACAAACTTCAGTTTTCATACTAAAGACTCTAATGCTTTTTATACAAGTACTCACACTAAACTCTTATGAACTCACCAGCTTTATGCTGATATTCTTTTCAAAATAACTTGTATCTCCAGGTCAAAGATAGACAGGTACAGCCGCAACATTTTTGGAGAAGATGGAGGATGCAAGACCCATCTCTTATTTTTGTTTACTTTTGGTGTTTGTCAAACATTACAAAACACACTTGTAAATACACTTACTATGTAAATGAAATGGTTGTATGTTTCTTGTTTTTTACTATTATACAATTGTGATGATACTGTACACTACGTCATCCACCCCGAAACGTATTCCGCCGTTATCGGTTTTGGGGTGTGACAGATTGGTATCAGAGCATTGTTTATAGTGAATCAAGTATATCAACCTATAAAAGATATACGAACTATAAACACTTCGGGACTAAAACACTCTGACCAAGAATATATACTGTTAAGTATCTTAAAGATTTAACTAAGTATATATATACACACATCACTATAAAACACAGAAGTCAGTATCGTCCTAGAACAAAACAAAAGTATTAAGATTGTTGGATAGCACAATTGAGCTTAGAGACATATAGTCACATTTAGGGGGATGTAGCCTGATCAACTACGTTTTCCTGGGAGTGACTAGCATGTGCCTAAGTTTGGTTGTGGTATTGCAACACGTCTAAAACTTACCAACACTACCACAATAACGTTAACATTAGAATACTATCGGAGTATTCTGTACCTCTAAAAACATACATCTGTGAGAACTAAAAAGGGTCGTTACTGATGGAGCAATAGTTGCTAAATGGATACTTTCCGGTTACATGTGACTAGGGCGTTATAGACTTAGAATCTGTGATCTTTGCTTTACTTCCTGTTCCTTGTTTGGTTGTGGATTTAGAGTTAGGGTCACTTATTCGACGGACTATCCTGCCCCAATCACATGTAATTAGTATGCATTATGCAAGTATTGGTCCCACTCGTGATGACCATCTTATAAATAATTTAGGTTAGTACGC